TTGAATTGTAGAATTGGATTTTATTATTTATTTGAGTATTAGTTTATTAATGAGAGGATATATGTAGTAGTACTGTTTAGTAATTTTGAGTAGTCATAGTTGATTATAAAATTATAATAAAGTTTTAGTAGGAGAGTAATTTAAGAGTTTGATTAAGAAATTATAGAATTTTGATTAAAGAGAAATTTTTGTTTTGGTAGGAGACTTAGCTTATAAATATGAGTGTAATCCCTATTATTTTGATTAGAAAGAGTATGCATATGAATTGATTGATCTCTACATGGAATGTTTTTCTTGGTCTAAGGATTGATCTCTTTTCTTTCTTCTCCTCCTCTTCCTGTTTGCGCCAAGTACTCAACTCTTTAGTAGTGGTTCAAAGATCAGTAATGGCCCGGTTGTGAGTGGGGCATTCCCTATCTGCCTCTGGTTGTGTGTTGTAGTCTTGTTCACTCTCCTATGAGTGTGGGTGATATAAGCTAGAAGAAGATTTTACTTAGTTTCCTCATGTTTCCCCTTCCCCCCCTTGAAAAAGGCTACCGAGGTGCTCACATTGATGAAGTATCAATTGTCCATCGGAGCACTGTTACATCGTGATGCATATGCCCCTCATAGCTTGGCTTACTAACGCTTACAAGATGATAATGGTTTAGAAACTAGCATTATTAAATCTTTCTTCCTCAAACATCCTTGCTGCTTGCAAATAGGGAATTACTAACCTTCCCACCCTTTGCCCTCAGAAAAAGAAAAGGGCAACACAAGACCTCTTGATTAATATCAACTGCCTGCCTATCAAATCTTGCACTTTCCTATTAGATGAATATTGTAGACATTATTCTCTTTGACAAATAACATTAGCTTGTTATTTTGATCTTCTTTCTCTCTTTGTTGGTTGATTAGTAGCCTACCTTTGAACCACCTTTATTTGTTGCAAAACTGGAGGATATANCCTATCAGTGTGATACCCGGTATTATCTCATTGAAGATAGATCTTTTTCCTATCTCTTCGGGGTCAAGAGTGTACTTTGCCAATTAATGTCGATTTTGCTAGAGTAATCTTGCTATTACTACTTTTCAAAGAATAGCTTTTTTCGACCATGGAGAATTGATGGGCGTCGAAAATGAATTTGATAAGCTTGAATTGTAGAATTGGATTTTATTATTTATTTGAGTATTAGTTTATTAATGAGAGGATATATGTAGTAGTACTGTTTAGTAATTTTGAGTAGTCATAGTTGATTATAAAATTATAATAAAGTTTTAGTAGGAGAGTAATTTAAGAGTTTGATTAAGAAATTATAGAATTTTGATTAAAGAGAAATTTTTGTTTTGGTAGGAGACTTAGCTTATAAATATGAGTGTAATCCCTATTATTTTGATTAGAAAGAGTATGCATATGAATTGATTGATCTCTACATGGAATGTTTTTCTTGGTCTAAGGATTGATCTCTTTTCTTTCTTCTCCTCCTCTTCCTGTTTGCGCCAAGTACTCAACTCTTTAGTAGTGGTTCAAAGATCAGTAATGGCCCGGTTGTGAGTGGGGCATTCCCTATCTGCCTCTGGTTGTGTGTTGTAGTCTTGTTCACTCTCCTATGAGTGTGGGTGATATAAGCTAGAAGAAGATTTTACTTAGTTTCCTCATGTTTCCCCTTCCCCCCCTTGAAAAAGGCTACCGAGGTGCTCACATTGATGAAGTATCAATTGTCCATCGGAGCACTGTTACATCGTGATGCATATGCCCCTCATAGCTTGGCTTACTAACGCTTACAAGATGATAATGGTTTAGAAACTAGCATTATTAAATCTTTCTTCCTCAAACATCCTTGCTGCTTGCAAATAGGGAATTACTAACCTTCCCACCCTTTGCCCTCAGAAAAAGAAAAGGGCAACACAAGACCTCTTGATTAATATCAACTGCCTGCCTATCAAATCTTGCACTTTCCTATTAGATGAATATTGTAGACATTATTCTCTTTGACAAATAACATTAGCTTGTTATTTTGATCTTCTTTCTCTCTTTGTTGGTTGATTAGTAGCCTACCTTTGAACCACCTTTATTTGTTGCAAAACTGGAGGATATAGAATATACAATTGAATGCTAGCTCCGTAACCCACCTGTTGAGGAGGAGGAGGAGGAGGAGGAGGGAGGAGGGGGGGGGGGAGAGAGAAGATATGGGCAGGGTATTGGTTTTAGATTAAAAATATGGATATGAGCCAAAGTTCGAAGGAACTTACTTGGTAGAAACCCTTTCTCTATGCAACATATTGATTACTTTATCAATTCAGTGGGTATGCAATGACTCACGTGAGAAGGAACGTCGGAGAAAACAATAACTTGGGTCTCCACTTTTAACATCGATGCAAAACCAAACTAAAGCTGCAACACCCCGTAAAGTAAATAAATGATGACAAGTGAACACTCGCACCAAATAACAACTGACGATGAATAGTAACTTTGGAGGCATAGAATAAAGGAGGAGAGGAAAGACTATGCATCGTAGTGTTGCTCTAATGTCAATTGATGGAGGATGGGAAGAGGAGGAGAAGAAAGAGGATTAAGAGATACCAAATCCTCTTAAGGATTAGATCAAGACACAAATTATCCAAAAAAGGAACAATTTTATTAATATCACCTCTATAATGAAAATAATATGGATTACTTTAATCTTTATTGGTTAAGTCTCGCACCAAAACAAAAATTACTCTTTTGTTAAAATTCTAAAAGCAATTTCCTAATCAAACTCTCAAATTACCCTCCTTCTAAAACTCTATAATAGTTTCCTGATCAAACTTTTTACTATTAAAATTAATGCAAACATATATTCCCTAAGTAGTATAGTAGCACAAAAATGAATTAAAAAATTCCAATTCTTCAATTTAAGCTTATTCAATCCCTTTTCGATCCCCATCATCTAGTGTCCTTGCCATACAATTGAATTTGGTAAAATAAACATTAGATATGTCAAGAGGCTATAGTGGAGACTTTTTGCGGTGCTTCTTGTTCCGGTAAGTATTGACTCCTTTAGAGATGTTGACATGTAAGTTTCACATGTTTTTACCTAGATGATTTTGAAACATTACACACATAATGGGACTGAACTACTGTTGATAAGTGCTTCAGTATGGTGGTCTACCAAAGCATTGATTGGCAAATGTCCTCTCATGTTTTTGTCCTTTTCATTATTAATAGTAATAAACATTAAAATACATGAGAAGTAAAAATAAGGTGTTAATATCCTTCTTGGGCCAGCATACTGTTGTCGTCAAGTGTTAAGTGAAAATCTTGTCACCGATGTTATGTTCACTCTTGCTAACCACATCTCATCACAACATTAAGTAACTGAACACTAGAATAAACTCATGCCCCTCTGAAATATGACATATGCATTGACCTGTTATATATCTACTTACCCGGTAGATTGAAAACTATAACTGTGTTCAAGGGTTTTTGAAGATAGGAGAAAAATATTTTGGCGAAACAACTTATATCCTAAGTTGAGGTTTGGCGGCTATAGATACGTTTATTTTCAAGAGCATCATCTAATTTTATTGAAGTAAAACATAGAATCAATTTTGCTCTAGTCTCCTCTTGGTTATCTCTTTGTCAATACCTAAACATTTCAGGGTTTTGAGAATTTTTTTTAAATATGGACGATTCTTTTGGTAACCACAAAGGTACTATAATTCACAAATAAAATATAGAAACTATCAATATACGAAATAAAAAGGAATTGGAACTTTCCAAAAAAAAAAGAATTTCATTGCAGAGGATTATAATTTCAATCAGTGTCAACTAATTCTGGACAACATTAAGAATTTATACAACCATGACCAAAAGACTGCTTACCCAAATAATAAACTCTCCTCCTGTACATTGGAGTCACTCTGGTAAAAGGAATATCCCTGGCAGAAACCATTTTTCTAGAAAGTATGTTTGCACGGCTTAGTTAAAAGGTGTCTCGTAAAAAATTCCATATATGGATATTGTTTTCAAGTCCTTTATGTAGCTTGCACGACAGCTGAGGTTGAGGGTTACACACTAAGTTCTGTGCATTTCTCTTGGTAAACTCCTAAGGTAAGTTTAGAGTTAACAATTTCACATGGTCGACTGATATTATGGATTCAAGTTTTTTTTTTTTGAAAAATGTGTATTTCCACCAGTTTAAATTTGTTTATTACATATGTTGTTTTCTTCTTTATTAGAAAAGAGAATGACACACATATTGTTCTGGATGTACAACCAATTGTTATGGTACTGCTGTTCCTGATACATGGTTTGAATGTATTGGCTTCTATTATATTTAGTAGGAGTTTACTGGGATCATCTCCTATAAAATTCTAATCACACTGTCACAATTTTTTATGTTCTATTTGTTAGTATTCTTTAGAGAGTTGACTTCTTTATGGGATTTACTTGTGCTTTTGTTTTTGATTGTTTTGGTCATATTATTTTGTAGCCCAGGTTTATTAAACTTGTTTAGTATCTCTACTGGTGCTAAAAAGGTTTGGGTGTCTTTGCCATGGGCATGCAAGCATTCATACCATTTCTAATTGGTTTTCAGAGTTGTTGGAGTCATGTTTTGTTAGTGTCTTAGCTTGGTAGAAAACAGATTTTTGATGTTATTAAAATGTGTTTGGGTTTACTCTAGCTGCCATATGATTTGCACAAGGCTTTGGGCCTGTGATTCTACTTATTGTGAGAACCATTCAAGCAAAATTGGCTAATTTCAGTATGAGAATTACTGTCGTCTTTTTAGCAATAACTTAAGAGCTTTTGGCAGTACAGGAGAAACATTACATTGCATATGTTGACTGTACACTAATTTTTTTTACAATTTTATTTTTGGTGATTAACTATTTTTTTGGTCAGTTCTTCGGATGGAACTCGATATCCAGAATTTCTTGAGGAATCCTGATGAACACCAGTTTGAGTTTCAACATTTCCCTACTTCCTACCTCCGTCTTGCAGCACACCGAGTTGCTCAACACTATGGTCTGCAGACTATGGTTCTGGATAATTTCTTAGATGGTCAGAGAACTAAAATTGTGGTTAGAAAACTGGCAGAATGTAGATATCCTTCCGTCTGTTTATCAGATATACCAGCTAAATTGTCGGATAATGAGAAACATGAGCAGATTAAGATTGTTATAAGGCCGAGGCCTGGTAAAGATTGTTATAAAACCAGTGAGATTAAATGTTGTCCTATGAGAACCATGGAAGAGAGGAAGGAAGAGTATGACAGGGCACGGGCTCGAATTTTCAGTAGTCCAAGTAGCAGTAGTCTTGAGTCAGTAGATACAACGTCCCGGGCCCCTTTAGGTGGGAAGAATATGTGTTTCAGTGGAGATGAGCGTGAAGCTTCAAGGAACATCATGGATTCAGAGAAAAACCTTAGCTGCAAGGATAGTGGTACTCCTTCTCGAGTAGCCATTTTCAGAGATAGGGAGAAGGATCGCATTGACCCAGATTATGACCGGAGTTATGAAAGGTAAGGTATCTGTTTTTGTACTGGGATTTAAAGTTCTTTACCTGCTAGATGCTATGCAATGTGGAAATCTTGTTTTAGCATTTATATTTGTGGTGCCAACACACGGTGTCAGGCACTTTTCAGTTTTGATGCTTAATCTTTTTGGAATTTGCTGTATTAGGCACCACACATCTTTTAGTGACCTTGTTATGAAGCTGCAGTGGAGACTACCTTGTTTGCCAACCCCCCCAACATGACCCCCAGGGTCTCAGAAAAAACCTTTTTTTTATCTCGATAAATTGATTCATTTCGCTGTTTGCAATGGGGACCTTATATATATATATATATTTTGTTACTTCTTTTCTTCTGTTTCCCTTGCCTGAGTCTATACTGCAGCTTTAATGTGCCTTTCGAGTTATCCTCTATGGGTTCTATTCTGGAGACACTGGCATTAGCATGTTGATATGATATGCGTTCTTGCATGTTGGGTTATGAGGGTTGCTGGAGGGTTAGGGATGACCCATCTAGACCTGGCATGTCAGTACAGCTTTTGTTTTGTTTTGTTTTTTTTTTCAGTATATGGTTTAGTTGAAGGAGTATCTATGATATTTGTCCTCAATTTTTGGTAGTTATTTGTCTACAATTAAAATTTATCTTTGCGTTGATGATGTGTTGAGGTATCAGTCTAAGAAATGTATGTTAACCGCTTAGTATTTTAATTTTGAAATATAATACTAATAGTAGGGAAAGGTTTGGTTGGTGAAATTTAAGTGTTACTGGTTTGAGCTTTACAGCCCTAGTTCTGATTCAGATTTTGGTGTTTTACAATTGTGGACTTGTGAGTGTTCCAAGCTAATTCTTTTTAAACTGTTGCAGGTATGTCAAGAGTATTCCAACAAGTCAAAGCTTTGGCTTGACACTGCTTAATATGCACAAGTTTCAGCCTCCATTTGTACCGTATGATTCTGTTGGCCCTCAGTTAGGTCAGATGACAAGTGCTCAAGCTTCCCTCAGCTACAGGAGCCCAGTCGCAAGCCCTTTTGGTGCCATGTCATTGAATCAGGCTTCCAGGGATGCGGTCTATATGCAGTGGCAATCTCAAGCAATAATTCATGCACAGTCCTCTGATCAATTTAGGCATGCTGTTTTCCAGGTGGGTACAGTTCCTTCTCCATATCTTTTTCCGCTAAAAATGTCAATAAGTCCTGCATGTTACGAATGCTTGAAAAATTATAATTGTAGCCCCAGTAATCACTAGGGTCCTTTTTGGAAATTGTCTTCTGAAGTTGGTGTGGTTAGGGTTAAAGACATGACATGATGAATGATCTTGAGTAAACATCTGATGATGCCATTGTGGAATGACACATCTTTTTTTATTGGAATTTTCAGGGGTGGTATGATGGGTGGTTTTTTCATGTTTTTTTTTCCATGTTAAGAAAGTATTTATTTTGGGGTTGGGGTGGGGGGGAATGTTTGGGTAGGATGATGCTTGGATAGCAGTTATAACTTTGGGCAGAACGTTGTGGTGCAATCAACGATGTACGATTGGCTATAGCAACAAGGGCTGAAAGTCACCCTTATGTAGGTTATGTTTTCTTGAGGATTTCCAAGATGATCATGCATGTACAGGACTGCATGACATTGAATGTGCAAGTGCATATCTTTGCCCAATATCATACACACGACAGGGTAAAGATTATGTGGTACCAACAGTTACAAATTGGATAATTACGTGTCAGCAGCCTTGGCAGCAATTGGTGTTTTGCCTCTGGGGGGCAAATGTCAAAGTTAGGAATGTCATACCACTGTGTCTTTATATGGTTGTAGGAGCTCCCCTCATACGAGAATAAAATTATACTAAATACTTGGGCTTAAATTTTTTATGTTTTCTTGTCTATGCTCCTGTGCGGCTCTTGTATCTAAATCTAATTTCATGGCATTTTTGTTGGTGCAGGCACCCTTCTGTCAGCAACCACTAAGTTTCGACTACTCACAAAATTATTGAACGGCAATTAGGATACCAAATGGTGGATTGTCTTGTCTTGTCTTGTCTGTATCACTGAAGTAGTAAATGCAAATATTTCGTAGGATTACCTTGATTTTAGGTTCATTGCCAAAAACATGTGTTTGTCAAACTCATGATTCTAATATACTTGGGTATATTTCTCTATTTATTGTTTGGGTCTTGAATGTGAGGGGTGAATGATGTTCATGTCGGTGAAGGATAATGTTACTCAGTTTGACCGTTATTGTTTGTATGGAGTTGTATGCATTGTCTGTTCGTTCATCAATCACATGGCCAACTAGTGCATTTTACGTGATATATTTGTACATACACATTGATCCCTGATGTTGCTATGTAAATCATCTTCATTCATGGGCGGCGCGCGCGCGCGCACAATAATTTACAATCTAAATCTCAAAAGATAAATAAAATAATTTTTGTTATTCACGGTTTAGATTGTTTTGAATTTTATTTTAAAATTAATCTAACGGTCAATATTAACACCTTAAATTTAATAGTAAAAATAAGTTTTTAATGGTGTGTTTAGAGTAATTTTTTAAAAATATTTTAAGAAATTATTTATTATAAATATTTTTTAAAAAATAGTGTTTAAAACTGTCACAGCTTCACCCCCATCGCCGTCGCCACCACCACCGCTGCCCCCACCTCCAACGTCACCCCCGCCACTATCATCGCCACTGCTACCACCACCACCGTCTCTATTGCCACCACCTCCACCTTTCACTACTGTAGCCACCGTCGCTGTCGCTGACACCATCGCCACCATTGTCGCCGCTCTCACCATCACCACAGTCATTGTCACCCACTACAATTATCACTGTCTCCTACCACCACCACTATAAACCGATATTGAAATTCATTTATTTCTTTTCTATATTTGTGATTTGATTTTAAATATGAATACAAATATGTTTATTGTTTACCATTTTTTAAGACTATGTGTCTTTAGGCACAGACAATAATTAGTATATAATAAAATAACTTACAATTTAAATCTCAAAAGATAAACAAAATGACTTTTGTTATTCGTGGGTTAAGATCGCTTTAAAATTTTATTTTAAAATTAATCTAACGACTAATATTAACATCCTAAATTTAATAGGAAAAATAGGCCCACAAGGGTCTCTTTAGAGTGACTTTTTAAAAGTACTTTTAGAAATTATTTCTTATAAATTCTTAAAAAAAAATAGTATTTGAAACTGTCTCACCACTACCTCTACCATCACCACCGTTGCCACAACCATCACCGCCGTCGCCGCCACCGTCACCGTCATCACCACCACCTCCACAACTCCAACCCCACCCCCACTAAACCCACCACTGCCACCATCACCGCCGTTGCCACTGTTGTTGTCGCCTCAATCGTCACCACCACCACCACCATCTTCGTTGCCTTTACTGTCACTACGGTCATTGCCACTCGCTACTGCCACTATTATCGTCGTTGCCACCGCCACCGCCATTGTCGCTGCCGCCACCGCCACCACCACCATTGTCGCCCGTCACATTTCCCTCTCACTACAAATCGATACTTAAATTATTTTATTTCTTCTCTATATTTGTGATTTGATTTTGAATATGAATACAAATATGTTTATTGTTTACCATTTTTTATTACTTTGTGCCTTCAGACACAGACAATAACTAGTATATAATAACGTATAATATAATTCAAATTTCAAAAGATAAATAAAATAATTTTTACTTTTTGCAGTTGAGATATTTTAAAATTTACTTTAAAGTTAATCTAACGATTAATATTAACACCTCAAATTTAATACGAAAAATAAACTCTTAAGGATGTGTTTGAGTTATTTTTTAAAAAGTGATTTTAAGACTTGTAATTTTTCATAAATAATTTTAAAAAAAATAGTGTTTGGAACCACTCAACCACCGTTATCCCATGATGATTACCACCACCACGCCCAACCCCCTACCACCACCCCTACTACACCAGTATTCCCATCGTCATTTCACCATCACCTTTGCCACAACAACCATCACCACTGCCGCCACTACACTCACTGCCTCACCACTACCATCACCACTACACTGCCTTATCATCACCACCGTTGCTGCCACCACCATCGCCACTACCTCACCACCACCTCCACCCCCATTCTCACCACCACCATTGCCCCACCTCCACTCCACTTCCACCCCACCCCACTGTCCCACCGCCATCCTTATCACTACCGTCACCCACTATCGATTATTACCACCATCGTCCTCCGCCACCATCCATTATCATCGTTATCTCATTATTATATTTATTATCATTACTATCATCACCTGTCGTCAGCACCCACTACCATTATTGTTGCCCACCATCACTCATCGCCACCCACAACTATCATCGTCGCCTTACCACCTCTACTGCCAACTATCATCATTGTCACCCATCACCACTATCGCCATCAATACCACCATTGCCGTCTAAAACCCACCACCATCATTATTGTCACCACCCACAGTTGCTGCCACCACTACGGTCGTCGCCATTCATCACCGTCTCTCACTACCAATACCACTGTCGCTTACCACCACTACCATTGTTCACTCTCGTTACAATCGGTATTTAAATTTTTTTATCTCTCAAGTATTTTTGTGATTTGATTTTGGGTGTGAATATAAATATATTTATTGTTGATAATTTTTTTAATTATTTAATGTCTTCAAATACGGGTAATAACTAGTATCTTGTATATATATATGTGTGTGTGTGTGTGTGTGTGTGTGTGTGGAGAGGAGAGAGAGAGAGTTGGACTTAACGAAGCTTGTAGGGCATATACCTTATGCCATATAGGCCTTTTTTGTCATTTTTTCAGATTAAAATTGAGAAAAAAAAACAGAAAAAGATCCATCAAGTGGTATACTGTTAATATTAACTTGCTCATGCCTGAAGTTGTGCTTATTTACCTGGCCAAGTATTCAAATTTTGTGTTCCGTGATAAAAAGGCACATGGTGGGAAGACTAGGTTGTATAAACAAATACTGATAATGGCATCCAACACCTCAATGCCAGCTTGTTCATATAAAAATAAATAAAAAAAAAAAACTAAGGTGCCAAAAAATATTATTATTAAAGACCAAGTTAAACTTTGCAATGTTGTGATCGATCATGAAATATTGTGATAAATCATAAATAACTTCAAGTAGTTGTAATTTTATTAAAATTTGTGACTAGACATTTTAAAAGTTATAATTTTTGATCATGATCAATCATACTTCTTTGAGTTATAAGTTGAAGTCTTAACAAAATTATAATTTTCAATACGGCACCCCAATTATGATTGATAATCGAGCCGAGATATTCAAGCTTGATTTAGATTCGACTTATACAGGATTCAACTATAAACGAGTCGTGGTTGAATAATTTTTTAAGCTCGTTTAAGAAAACGAGTCTAAAAAGCTCGACTCATTTATATGCAAAATAGTTGAGTTACTCGGGTTTAGTTCAGGTTCGGCTCGTTTGGGGCTTAGTTTATTTTTTAAACGAGTTGAACTTGAAACATTTTTTAGACTTACTTAAAAAAACGAGCTCGTAAAATTCGATTCGATTATTAGTCGCAACGCCAACGATCCAGTAGTCATCCAACAAATAAATACTTTTTCTAATATGATTACCAATTGCTTAATTTATAAAACAATTAATTATATGGACAGTTTTAATAGTGCATGGACATTGAAGTTTTGGTTCATCTGAAAATTCTGAACTACGTACCAGACCAAAAATTGAGCTGACGAGTTTCTAGGTAGAGTAGGATTGTTTAGAGAGAGTCGCCACCAAAACAAAACAGATCTGATCTGATCTGATCTACCAGACAATAAAATACCACTACTGTACTAGGAAATGCCGGTCTTCAAGGTGGGTGCGTGGGTGGTACCTCTGTTTTTATATGTTGATTCGAATCCAGGCATTTAAACAACATTGCAAGTCAAATGGTTAACTTCGTTTGTAGCTATTTATGCATTATGCTAAACAATGCATGAGGAAATTCTTTCAACTTTTGAAAATTTTTTCAATGAGTAGGTTGTATTTTTATCTGAAGTTTCATACCGAGTGTTTAAGTTTATGTTGATTCCTTATTCGAATTCAGCGATTGATCATTATGACTTAATAGATCATGTCCCTAAAGGGATAAGAGTGACTAACCCTCAAAGGGTGTGAAAAAAGGTTGAACGTGAAACCTCTGAGTTATCAAAATTCAGATTCAACCACTCGATCACTCTTAAAAATTTATAATGTCGTTCAAAAGAATAGAAATAAGAAATTAATGAGCGGTTGAGATGGGTGAGATATCAAGTCCAGATAATCCTCTGCCCTTGAAGAGACATGTCTGGATAATAGATAAGGTGGATATGATTGAACTCTCTCATCCAAGACAATCCATTCAGCTGGGCAAAAACGTCTGGATTAGCTCATCACTATGTTGTGTTTCTCATGTCCGTATGTGTGGATCCAGATAGCATTGAAATGTCACTAAGGAATCTTCGTTTTTTCCGTCATTTCTGGTATGTGGTTCCTGGGATTAGTATTGTATATCATGAAAAAATATATTTATTGGTTAAAAAGTGCAGTCGGTATCATTGCCCAAGTGGCATCTTCGAATACATCCAGGTTTCATGTTTCATGCCATGAAAATCTTCTATCCTAAGCCCAATTGGCTTGGAGTACATAATTTTATGTTCAATTGGTCAGTTGCCTTAATGGTAATTGAGTTGATGAATTATGGTAAACAAACAGTATTGGTTAAGGTTTTACGACTACCTAATTCCATAAGAATCCTTTACCAGTAAACTCTTCAATACCTGTATGAAAGAGGGTTTCTGCAGCCGTATACTTTGAATTGGATAAAGCTATGCCGGTTTTTAAAAGCTAAGCTATCAACCATTTCTCCAAGAGATACAATGTTACATTTCAATCTAGTGAGCTATTATGACACACAAGGTGTGTATGTTCCAGCATGAGAGAATTCCACCAGGATTACAAAACTGGTAGAGGAGAATAGTGCATATGACCAGCGCACCACGAGAGATGGCATAAGCAACTAACATACCAGGCTTATACTCATCACTCCAAGATCACATACTGAGCAACTTTGAACAATAACATGCCGCCTACTGCTACTATCATCTAACAATTGTTTCAGAGAGATACGGGAGGCAGCTGCATGTTTAAGAGGCGCCTCAATCAAAAGAGAAAACGATTAAATGGAGAGAGCTAAAATGTTGAGTTACAATGAATATGATTCAAAAGACGAGCAATAATAATACCAATGGAATTTATGATCCAAATAGCAGGAACATTATGCTGCTAAATGACTAACTAGTACAGAAATGCAGAAATTACAGTCCTTCAAAGTTGCGGTCAATGGAGTGACAAGACGAAAGAATGCTTTTGGCAATTGGGTTGTTAGAGCAAGGCAAGCGCCACCAACGAAGTTTGAAGCTCAAACTCTCAGTAGAAAGAGGTTTTGCACTCAGAATGAAATAGTCTCCAAAACTCACTACCAGACCATTAACCTATTAAGAACAGACTTCTCTTAGCTACCCTCAAGAAACTAAACTGATCAACTGTGACAACCCTGGATGAAACTCACCTTAAAAGTCTAAACTGGCACAGTAATTCAGTAAATTTTCTGCAAGGAAAAGATCAAACAGGCTGAAACATCATATGCAAAAGGATTTGAAAAGGCATGCAAACAAAAACAAAAAAAAATGTACTTGAACTTCAGTCAAGTGTAGAAACATAGCCTTAATGCTCCATCACCATTCTGCTGTTTAAGAAAACTAGCGATTCCAGTTCTAGGGGTCGAATCCTTGATTCCCCCTCCTGGCAAGTCCATAAAGATGAGAGAATTCATCGGCCCATGAAATTAGAGGATAAAATATATTATTAGTAGACTCATGTGCAAAAATGAGCCATAGCAAAGCTCTCCATACCATCAATTAGCATACATAAAGCATGTGTTAAGACTTTCATTCCAAGCAAATCGTCCTATGGTCGAGGAAGCCTTAACAAGATCACGAACAGTTCATGTAAAGATGGTGCTCAACCCATTACTTGGGAAAGAAACTCAACTTCTCAGAAAGATAGAACATTCAAATAAAACAATGGGATCATGAAAGCAATAGTGGTATGTGAATTGAAAACAAAAACATAGACACTTGAACTAACAGAAACAAAAGATCATCAGCCCCAACAGAATTTCAAGTGTAAAGACTATTTTACTTCACTATGATACCAACACTTTCTCCAACTTAGAAACACAGGCAAAGACATTAAATAGAGCACAATGTTCACACGAGGAAGAACTCATTGGAATATCATTTTAGGTAACGTAACGTAACTGAATATAATGATAGATGCACCAGGATTTTGAAGTATTTATGAGACTATTACTACTCTTATTTTGTAATAACCGTCAACTCACAATTTGTATACTTCCATTCAATAACCTTCATTCTATTAGAATGTTTCAAAATTCATATAAGCACAAGCAAGGCAAGAGTTTGAATTGAGGGTTAAGAAATTAAGACCTGATCTTAAATGGAGGTCTATTCACTAATAGCAAAAAGTTGCTGGATGCCTAATTTCAAACTAAATTGAAGGTATTCACATAGTAAACATATTTGATTTGGCAGGAGCTAAAAGGAACACTCTGCCAAAGGAACACTGGACAAGTAAGTAATTTCAGGAAATGTAGCAACCATTCATCAATGTTCATAAAGCATTATGGTAGAACGGACCTCCTCATCACATCAGAATTGTTTTCAGAAAGATCCCCAAAAATATCAGGGACACTAAATCCTCTATAAAACCACACAATTTACAACAAGCAGTACCTCTTCATAGTTCTAAACTAAGAAACAAGAGAACTTAGTTCCTACACAGTAGAATCCTGGAATTTGCTAAGAAATCCAATACCAAGATTTCCTTCCATGGAAACTAATGCGATTCTCAGATTTCTGATGAACATAAATAGTACCTCCATGCATTATTGACCCTTATATGAAAGCTCACGACTTAGTAATTCGTTGCTTTGGCCACCAACATCTTCACCAATAACAAGTCATCCTGACGAGTAGAAGAAAATCAGCCATCTCAAGCTACCATGGACTACAACAATCTCTGAGAAAACCATATTGTCCAAGATCACACACCTTGTGACTGCAACTATTAATGACCTTCACACAATTATTGTGGCCAAGTGTGACATCACGATTAATATCCGCCACCAGAGGCCAAGAAGGGGGGAAAAGACTGCTTCTCACATCTTACTTGTACTTGTTTCTATTCAAGGTACAAGACAGCAGAATTGACACAACCCACTGATTCTCTAACATTAGGACATACATAGCCGAGTTCCAACCCCAACACCAGAATTTTAAACAGGAAATCTGCAAGTTCACGAAGACTCAATACCAATGACTCAACCCAGAGTACTAAGAACAACCAAAAGACAACCAGAATAACAAGAAAACTCTCGACCAAACTCTAAAGTGCTAAATCCACACACATTTCACATGACCCACAATCTGAATTAACAGGAAAAGGAAACAATTACCCTCAATTCAATCATCCCCTGTGGGAAATAGAGTAAGAACTTTCCTTCCACTCGCTGCTGTGGCCGACTCCAAATCCTCTATATATGATGGTACTGGGTTATGCACTGGAGTCCCCACCCTATGAACTGGCTGCTGTGACTGCCTGGAAAGAAATGGAAGCTCAAACTGTCCATTTGGCGGTGAACCAAAATGCCCCATCGGCCTATACTGCGGGTGAAACTGTGGATGCCCGGCAACAGCCGCCATCTGCTGGTGGTGGTGGTGGTGATGTTGCTGCAGCGCCGCCACCGGCACAAACGGTAAGAAATGGTCCGAAGTAGGCCTACCCAGATTCACAAAATGCGCTGGCACTGGCGAACTTGCAAACAAATGATCTGTAGCAGGGTCAACTGCCGCAGGTATTCCTCCACCACCACCACCACCACCATTACTGGAAAGTCCCTGCATTCGCTTCAAATAGAGACGATACTTCTGCAAATGACTCGCAACATTTTCTCGAGTCAACCCATCAACACTCATGAGCTGCATTATGGTCTTGGGGACAGCATTCTTGATCCCCAAGTGAGCCACAGCGTCCACAAATCTTTTGTGTAGCTGTGGCGTCCACACGAGTCGAGGCCGCTTCAGGGTACGAGCAGGTTCGTCCCCTGAAGCAGCCCCGCCTCCTCCCAACTCGCCGGAATCGAATTCCACGGAGTTGTTGTTATGGGGTTGGGAGGAAGGGGTGGTTTGAACTAGTGGAGGAGGAGGTGGTGGTGGTGGTGGTTGTTGGTGTTGGTGAGTTTGCTGGCTATTTGAGTTTCGGATATCAAAGGCCATAGCTAGATCAGGGGTTATAAGGGTCTGGGATAAGGGCATGAGCTCTTCAGGGGATGGAAGTTCTTCTTCCCACTTTGAAAACCAATTCGAGTCATCCTCTCTCATTTTTTTCCAACCCTTCTATTCTATCACACCCAATTGAGCACTTCTATACACTCAATCCTATTTCTGGGCTGCAAATAATTTTGGGTCTGTTTTGCTGGTTTTGTAAATTCAATATTTTGTGGGTTTTGTTGGTAATTCAAGAACAGAAACAATACCAACAAGCNCAATCATCCCCTGTGGGAAATAGAGTAAGAACTTTCCTTCCACTCGCTGCTGTGGCCGACTCCAAATCCTCTATATATGATGGTACTGGGTTATGCACTGGAGTCCCCACCCTATGAACTGGCTGCTGTGACTGCCTGGAAAGAAATGGAAGCTCAAACTGTCCATTTGGCGGTGAACCAAAATGCCCCATCGGCCTATACTGCGGGTGAAACTGTGGATGCCCGGCAACAGCCGCCATCTGCTGGTGGTGGTGGTGGTGATGTTGCTGCAGCGCCGCCACCGGCACAAACGGTAAGAAATGGTCCGAAGTAGGCCTACCCAGATTCACAAAATGCGCTGGCACTGGCGAACTTGCAAACAAATGATCTGTAGCAGGGTCAACTGCCGCAGGTATTCCTCCACCACCACCACCACCACCATTACTGGAAAGTCCCTGCATTCGCTTCAAATAGAGACGATACTTCTGCAAATGACTCGCAACATTTTCTCGAGTCAACCCATCAACACTCATGAGCTGCATTATGGTCTTGGGGACAGCATTCTTGATCCCCAAGTGAGCCACAGCGTCCACAAATCTTTTGTGTAGCTGTGGCGTCCACACGAGTCGAGGCCGCTTCAGGGTACGAGCAGGTTCGTCCCCTGAAGCAGCCCCGCCTCCTCCCAACTCGCCGGAATCGAATTCCACGGAGTTGTTGTTATGGGGTTGGGAGGAAGGGGTGGTTTGAACTAGTGGAGGAGGAGGTGGTGGTGGTGGTGGTTGTTGGTGTTGGTGAGTTTGCTGGCTATTTGAGTTTCGGATATCAAAGGCCATAGCTAGATCAGGGGTTATAAGGGTCTGGGATAAGGGCATGAGCTCTTCAGGGGATGGAAGTTCTTCTTCCCACTTTGAAAACCAATTCGAGTCATCCTCTCTCATTTTTTTCCAACCCTTCTATTCTATCACACCCAATTGAGCACTTCTATACACTCAATCCTATTTCTGGGCTGCAAATAATTTTGGGTCTGTTTTGCTGGTTTTGTAAATTCAATATTTTGTGGGTTTTGTTGGTAATTCAAGAACAGAAACAATACCAACAAGCAAACAACATATATTGACTCAATCAAGATGCTGGAGAGAGAGAGAGAGAGAGAGAGAGGGAGAGAGAGAGAGAGAGAAATTGGAGAATAGAATTTGCTGAGATGGGTATATTCTGATCAACCCCTCTGTCGATATAATTTGTGGGGAGAGGAGGAGTAGGGGGGTGGGGGTGTGGTGGTGGTGGAGGGGTGTTCGAGGTGGATCTTGTTCTCTTGTTTTCAGCTTTTTATGGTTACTGTTGGTGATGCTTTTCTTGTGATTTTTATGGAGCTGAAGTTGGTTATTTTCCAGGATTGGGGTGTCTTTTACACTTTGAGAGTGAGTGAGTGTTGCAAGATTTTTATTTGTTTCCCACATTTACATGTTTCTACTTCTATCTCTACTACTATTACTATATCCCTTCCCCACCATCCCCATCATTTCCAGGCCCGTGTATTCACGCTCCACTTTTATTGAACAGCAACCATCACCACCAGTGGATCTACTTCGTAGAAGTTAATGAATTCAAGCTTCTGGATAGATTCTTCTAAAAAAAAAAAACTGGAAAGATTATGCTAAGGTCTGGTTTGTATCGGGCCAGCCCGACCCAACACGGAACCCGTCACTTGTGTATTGGATTCATTTTGATTGGTCTATCTTTTCAAGTTATAGAATTTTTCTATAAATTTACTACTTGTTTTAATTTTGAAAATCCATCTTTGGCTGAAAGAAAACTCGTGAACCCACCTTAAAAATTTCATGTGACATACCAGGCCGACCCATCATCGGTCGATTATAAATTAAACGTAGTATACTCAATTTTGTAGCAATTTTTTTAAATATTTTTAACAAATGTATAGGAGTACGTGTGTGTATCCGATGTTTGTTTAAATCAATTACACATCAAGATTCATCGTGAACTTTTAAAACAAAAAAATTAGGGTGCACCCATGATTTGTTGCTTCAAAAAGGGAAAAAAAAAAAAAAAAGGAGTTTTTGATAATATTATTTGTGTCTAAAAAAGGGGGATGTACTATTATTGAGCGATCATTTTCTAAAGAGCGTAGGCGACACGCGCACAAAAGGAGGCTATATAAGACTGGTTGTACGGTAGGGGAAGATGTGGTGGGTATTAAGGGAAAGAATTTTAAGAGATAGAGAAAGAGAGAGAGAGATATGATGCAAAGTTAGGTCACTTTGTGGGAACTCTTTTTAAGTTTGATCACTTTGTTGTTGATGTGGGAATCAAATATAAGTATTAAAGGTGTGTTTGGTTGTGAGATGTGAAGATAACTTATTTATTTTAGAGGATCAATTAAACAAATAGGAGAATATTTTAGGTGCTCGATGTGATTAGTGAGTGTGTTTGGTTGTAACGATAAACCTTATCGAATATTTAGGTTGACTTTGATATTGAGATTCCAACCTTCTTTATGTGAGTAGAGGTTATTTGGATGGATTACTGATTAGATTCAATGACATCTCTGCATAACAATATTCTCAAGGAAGGGACCAAAATATCTTCTTTTTCTTGGTTCAAAGGTCCGGTTTGATCAAAGGTATGTCATTCACGTTAGGATTAAAGAATTCATAAATTTCTCCTGGCCTAACTTCAAGGGGTTGTCAAGATTCAAACACAAGACGTCTGAATTTACAACTAATTTCTATTACCACTTAAATTACTCTGAGAGTTTAAAATATTTATTAATAACTTAGCATACAAGCAAAATGCCCATGTGATTTGCTCATTAAATCTAAAAGTGGTTAGATTTACAATGATATGATAATGGTTATAATTGGGGGGTCAATTTTTATCTTCCCCTAATTAAGAAGTTTTTGATCATTTTAGAAGATCAAACTAATCCTCTTCGACACTCTGCCGTATATCCGTGTCACAAAACCTGAACCATTACAACGAAGTATCTTAAGGTGATTCCAAAAGTAAATTCGAATTCTTAGACATTTTGTAAAGTGACTCGAAGTCATTTTTTTCCATCTCTTGAAATTATTTAGGATCAATCATTAAAATCACGAAAAAGTAGAGAGGTTTCTATGCTCCTCTATTTAGCTAGAAAGTGGAGAATTGATAGCCTAAGCACAAAACCCGTTCAATAGTTGGACGGGCTGAATAGTTGGACTAGCCCGCCCAAAACCCGTTCACAATCGTCTTAGTGGGCCATAAGATGATTATCTTAAATTTTAAAACTAAGTATCTATTTCACTTGGTTATATTGGTTGAAATAAAGAATTACTATATTACCTTGATGGGTGATAATAAATTGTATTATAAAATGCGATTAACATGTTTGTCAATCACCGTTTATCAAAATTGAATACATTTACTCGTCGTGGGGCACTCGCCAAAGAACCCAAAATGTCTGGTACACGCGTCTGTAAATGATGGAATTGATGCTCAATTTTAATGGGAACTTGATAGGAAGGAGTAGTATTGTGAATACAACTGAGGTTCCTTTTGCTAGGAATATATAGATTGCAATGGTTTAAGGAAAACTTGAGCTTCTCCAATATGGCAATATATAAGGAAGTTTTGGGTTGAAAGAAGTGGCTGGTGGTCTGATTTTAAGTTGAAGAATGAAGTGCTTATACATGGGGTTTATTGGCTTTAAAAATGTAGAGGTAGATGGTGTGTGTGGCAGCAGTGATGGGTATCTTGATTGAAAATGAAACATTGCTACCATACAAACAAATCCCAATAAAGGTTAGATGTACGCAGCCTTATTCTTGCAAGCAGATAAATTATTTTCACGACTTGAATCCGTGATCTTCAAGTCACAATGGAGCAATCTAGATTCGGTGATCACCAATAATGAAAACTAGGAAATAACCCCAAAACACACCATCTACCTCAAGACTCTCTCGGTGATCACCAATAGTTTAATGGAAAGTGATGATACACAAAATAGTTTTGCACACCACCTGTCAAGTGTAAATAATAAATGCAAAAAATAATATAAGGAGATGGAGAGATACAAGCAATTTATAGTGGTTCGGTCAACTCGACCAACGTCCACTCTTAAATGGCTCTAGTTGTCAGATATTTTATTAATTTAAGGGTGTGGAGAGCAGAAAATACAAGCTTTGAGGGAGAGGAGAAAGTCGTGCTTAGGGAAAGTGTGATGCCCAGGTAATAGGTGTCTTCTCCCCCAAGTGTTGGTGGGACATGCAATTTATAGTGGTCCCCTAACAGGTTGGGGCTATTTTACAGTAACTGAGCAACTATTTCGGTGGAGTTTCACGACTTCTTCTCAACGGGTGAGGTGATTGAGAGACTCTCCATGAGACGCAGTCAAGGATAAGGTGAGGGTGGATTATTTCCTTGGCAGTGCAGGTAAGGCTCTCGTATTCTCTCTCTTTTGATGACGCAGTCGAACTAATGAGACTGGACTTGGACAATATTGGGCTTGGTGGATTTTTATGAGACTTGTCTCTTCAATTGAGGCTTGTGCTTTTCAAATAAATTGGGTTCTTATTAGGCTTGACCCATCATTTGCCCCCCAATGCCTCCTATGTCTAAGAAAAACTTGGAGAATGAGGCATTGACTCTTCATTTGTATATTTTTGGCTTTGGTGCAAACTTCAAGCCTTTCTCACTTTTGCTTGAATTTTGAAGAGGGCCCATAATTTTCAATTTGAGCTTTTCCCTCTTTTAAAACCTTAGACTATAAATATAGTCTTCTTCTTCATTCTACCCGTTTCACTCACCTTGAAATTGGAAACCATTCTTGAAAATCTTGAGAGCCCAAGTTCTTCCCATTCCACTGAGACTTGGGAGAAGGGAGGCAAGACTTGAAATCTCTCAAGATCATTTTGTTGGTATTCTTGGGTGGGTTTTTTTTTTTAAGTGGGTATTTGGAGCTTTGAAGGAGGTGGAATAGAGAGGCTATATTGGTGCCATGAGGAGTGGAAAAATTAGGGCTGAGGAGAGTGATATTGGAGCATTTGAAGTTGCAAGGATCGAAGGAGGAGGAGGGGAAAAATCCCCGCTAGCCGCCACTGCCATTCGCGCGCACCAACAACCCGGGCAAGCCGCCACTGCCATTCGCGCTGTTTTGGGCGCTGGTTCAGCCACCTCACATGTGGGTTTTGGTGTTTTTGGCATGGCTCTCAACCTGGGTAGGCACAGAGAAAACAAGATGGACTTCCTAGGCGAGCTGGGCAACAAAAAAGGGGTGAAAAAGGGATTGTTCTGGGCAGTTCTGGCGCGCTGGGCATCTGCCTGAGTGCTGATTTTGCTGTCTTGGACAGCTCAGGCGTGCTGGGCAGCTGCCTGGGGGTTGGTTTTGCTGTCCTGGACAGCTTAGGTGCGCTGAGCAGTAGTTTGGACATTGTTTTTGCTGTCCTGGACAGCTCAAACGCGCTGGGCAGCAACATTTCTTCAGCAAAAAGTGCAAGAAATCAGTCCAAGGTATAGCAGGGAGAGCTGGGCAGTGGCCTGGGTGCAGGGGCAGATCTGAGCGCCACTCTAGGCGCTGATTTTGGTGCCAAAAATGCTGTTTTGTGCAATTTTGAAGGGTCAGACACCTCTCCAGCTACTGGGCAGCTCCGTTTTGGCGAGCAAAGGCAGTCAGACACCCTTCCAAGTGTTGGGCTAAACATTACAAGTGATAAGAAAACTTTGGGTGCTGCTTTTGATAATCAAGACCCGACTGTGACTCCTCCGATTCAAGTTCCTCAAGATTTCTCAAATGGTGGTTTAGACTACTCCCTATGGCCCCGGAAGAAGAAACACAAAGACAAAGTGGGACTCGATGATGATGGGTCTAAGGTGAGTACCCTTTCCAGTCTATTCCATTTAGATGAAGATATCTCGAGACTTATTTTTACTTATCGCATTCCTCCGACCGTGCTGTGCCGTCGGGCTGAGTTGGGCGAGCTTGCTTGCGATGACTCTTCTGGTGATATTGTTGTTTACGAGGAGATATTTGAGGCTGGGTTAAGATTCCCCATGTCCTCTCCCATTTGTCACGTTTCACTCACCTTGAAATTGGAAATCATTCTTGAAAATCTTGAGAGCCCAAGTTCTTCCCATTCCATTGAGACTTGGGAGAAGGGAGGCAAGGCTTGAAATCTCACAAGATCATTTTGTTGGTATTCTTAGATGGAGTTTTTTTTTAAGTGGGTATTTGGAGCTTTGAAGGAGGTGGAATAGGGAGGCTATATTGGTGCCATGAGGAGTGGCGAATTTAGGGCCGAAGAGAGTGATTTTGGAGCATTTGAAGTTGCAAGGATCGAAGGATGAGGAGGGGAAAAATCCCCGCTAGCCGCCATTGCCATTCGCGCGCACCAACAGCCCGTGCAAGTGCCTATAGGCGCTGGTTCAGGCGCCTCACATGTGGATTTTGGTGTTTTTGGCATGGCTCCCAACCTGGGTAGGCACAGAGAAAACAAGATGGACTTCCTAGGCGAGCTGGGCAACGAAAAAGGGGTTGTTCTGGGCAGTTCTGGCATCGCTGGGCAGCTGCCTGAGCGCTGATTTTGCTATCCTGGACAGCTCAGGCGTGCTGGGCAGCTGCCTGGGGGTTGGTTTTGCTGTCCTGGACAGCTCAGGTGCGCTGGGCAGTAGTTTGGACACTATTTCTGCTGTCCTTGATAGCTCAAACGCTCTGGGCAGCACAGATTCTGCTGTGCTGGGCAGCAACATTTCTTCAGCAAAAAGTGCAGGAAATCAGTCCAAGGTGCAGCAGGGAGAGCTGGGCAGCAACCTGGGTGCAGGGGCAGATCTGAGCGCCACTCCAGGCTCTGATTCGAGCACCGTAGGCGCTGATTTTGGTGCCAAAAATGCTGTTTTGTGCAATTTTGAAGGGTCAGACACCTCTCCAGCTACTGGGCAGCTCCATTTTGGCGAGCAAAGGCAGTCAGACACCTTTCCAAGTGTTGGGCTAGACATTGCAAGCGGTAAGGAAACTTTGGGTGCTGCTTTTGATAATCAAGACCTGATGATCAAGACCCGACTGTGACTCCTCCGATTCAAGTTCCTCAAGACTTCCCAAATGGTGGTTTAGACTACTCCCTATGGCCCCGGAAGAAGAAATGCAAAGGCAAAGTGGGACTCGATGATGATGGGTCTAAGGTGAGTACCATTTTCAGTCTGTTCCATTTAGATGAAGATATCTCGAGACTTGTTTTTATTTATCGCATTCTTCCGATCGTGTTGTGTCGTCGAACTGAGTTGGGTGAGCTTGCTTGCGATGACTCTTCAGGTGATATTATTGTTTACGAGGAGATGCTTGAGGCTGGGTTAAGATTCCCCATGTCCTCTCCCATTTGTCACGTTTTGCACTACTTTTCCTTGACTTCGGGGCGACTAGCACCCAATGGTTGGAGAGTTCTGCTTGGCTTTCTTGCATTGTGGAGAAAAGTGCACCATGAGGATGTTTCTCCTGTGGAGTTCCATGCAGCATATAATTTGAGCGAAATCCCTGCACCAAATAGGGAGTGGTACTACTTTACCACAAGAAATGGTACAGTGCTCACGGGAAAGCGCTCCAATTGTGGCGGCTAAAAATTTTGCTTCTTCTTTGTTGGTGGAGAGTGGGCTACAGAAGCCGACAGAGCTTTGGTGTCAACACATTCGGGTGCCAATACATGTATAAAAAAAATGTGTAGTGTGCAGCGTACCGGATTTTCTAGCAACACCCCAATGTTTTGGCACTAAAGCTTTGTCGGCTTCTGTAGCCCACTCTCCACCAACAAAGAAGAAGCAAGATTTTCAGCCGCCACAATTGGAGCGCTTTCCCGTGAGCACTATACCACTTCTTGTGGTAAAGTAGTACCACCCCCTATTTGGTGCAGGGGTTTCACTCAAATTGTATGCTGCATAGAACTCCACAGGAGAAACATCATCATGGTACACTTTTCTCCACAATGCAAGAAAGCCAAGTAGAACTCTCCAACCATTGAAACGGGTAGACTGAAGAAGAAGACTATGTTTATAGTCTAGGGTTTTTAAAAGAGGGAAAAACCCAAATTGAAAATTATGGGCCCTCTTCAAAATTCAAGCAAAAGTGGGAAAGGCTTGGAGTTTGCACCACAACAAAAAATATTCAAATGAAGAGTCAATTCCTCATTCTCCAAGTTTTTCTTAGAGATAGGAGGCATTGAGGGCAAATGATGGGTCAAGCCCAAAAGCCTCAATTGAAGAGCCCAGTCTTATAAAAACCCACCCAAGCCCAATATTGTCCAAGTTCAGTCTCATCGGTTCGGCTGCATCAGTACGAGAGCCTTACCTGCACCGCCAAAGAAACAGTTCACCCTCACCTTATCCTTGACCGCGTCTCATGGAGAGCCTCTCAACTATCTCACCCGTTGAGAAGAAGTCGTGAAACTCTATCGAAATAGTTGCTGTAAAATAGACCTAACCTGTTTGGGGACCACTATAAATTGCACGCCCCACTAACACTTGGGGGAGAAGACACCTATTACCTGGGCATCACACCTTCCCTAAGCACTACTCTCTCCTCTCCCTCAAAGCTTGTATTTTCTGCTCTCCACACCCTTAAATTAATAAAATACCCGGCAACTAGAGAGTCATTCAAGAGCGTAGGTCGAGTTGACTGAACCACCTATTACCTGGGCATCACACCTTCCCTAAACACTACTCTCTCCTCTCCCTCAAAGCTTGTATTTTCTGCTCTCCACACCCTTAAATTAATAAAATACTCGGCAACTAGAGTCATTCAAGAGCGTAGGTCGAGTTGACTGAACCACTATAAATTGTTTGTCTCTCCATCTCCTTATATTATTTTTTGCATTTATTATTTAAACTTGACAAATGATGTGTAAAACTATTTTGTGCATCATCAGAAAGTACTAAGCTGTATTAGATCGAGACAAATTGCAAACTCATGATATTTATTAATCGAAGAAAAAATGAATTGGAATGCATTCACTGAGGTTTCGGTAAAATCACTACTTATATCCAACTAAACAAACACCGCCATTATCTCAAAATGGTCTCTCCCCCCAAAACAATCTTCTCTCTCATGATGCAGCCAAGAGAGTCTTGGCCGGTGGAAGCAGAGCAACAGCACCTCGCTCAGGATCAGAGTACTTTCTGTAAATCGCCCTCAACTTGTTCTCCGTTGCTGCCATTGAGTGGAAGCTGACCAGCATTTTAGAGCAATCCCTATTTTAGAAAAAGAAAAAGAAATAAGGGTAACTCAATTGTAGCCTACATCGAAAAAAGAAGAAGTAACAGATGGCAAAATTGTATTTACATTAGCTGTGGCTCGGAAAAACCGGTGTGCAGTTCAAGCGTTTCATTCCATTCAGGAAGCTTGTTTAAAGTGCAGCGGGCAGTGTACACTGCTGATGCAGCTATCATTGATGGACAGTACATTACAGTGGCATAATTCACCATAGCCAACTCAGCCAGAAGATAGACCATATTCTCCATCTATAACAAGATCAAAAACAAACAATTTGCCTCAACAATTGTTGTCAAATGTAAATAACAATCAAAACAGTTATGAGTAGGGATATCACACTATGGTACGAGAGATGTCATATGTAATTGTGAGTACAATAATACAAAATAAGATTATTTGAATCAGTCAATCTTAGCCACATATAACTTACACTTAATTTGAGTTGTAACTGATCGTAAAGAGAAGGAAAATACTCACAGCAGAATCAGCAAGAGAGGCTTTGATGAAGCGCACAAGGAACACATAAGGCGTAGGAACAGTCAGGTTCCATTCCAACTCTCCCAATATCTGTTTCTCCATGACTAACACTTGCTGGTGGGTGTAAGCTCTGTCTGATATGCACACAAAGTCATTGACCTGCACATTACAATTTCAAAAAACTTTTTGGCTTGTTTAATGAATAGACACAAAGATGCATTAATGCACAAACTAAAGTTAAAGCCTAATGTGGTACGATACCTCAGGGGCCCAAATTTCTTCATACTTCGAGGCCATAAGCATGGCACTAATGCCCAGTAACTGCAGTTCCTTCCTTACTATAGTCTTCACAGCAAGGTATCGATCAACGATGTTAGTGGTGAGGTAAAGAGTCTCGGGCATGAGCTCGAATTTTTTGTGAACATCAATCAACCAATCTATCATAATTGCTCTCATCTTCTCATTTATCTCTGGCTGTGTATTCATATAATCATGAACTCGGCTCTCATTCTGCACCACAATCACATATAAATAAGAGTTTTTGACCAATTTATCGAACTTTATTTCCGTACTATGGTTTTAATTTATATTTGTTGTTTACAACAAGAAGGCATTGTTCGAACTTAAACCTCCCATTTTAAGTTCAAAATCATAGTCCCCCTGGAATAAAGTTAAAAAAGTACCGTATTTTGATAGCTGATTCCAAAATAACAACATACAGAAACAAAGAGAAATTAATTTCAATTATCAGGATCGAATACCTCAACTTCCTTGTAAAACTTGTACATATCTTCCACATATTCGACAACGGCCAACTCATTCTTTACATCTGCGGCATCAATATCAATAATCTGCGACTTGGGTTTCTCAATAAAACCACAAGCAGCCTGAAATATGGGATTGAATAAGAGTCAAGAAGAAAAATTTCCCCAAATATTCTTTTGAAGGAACAATTAGAAGATCAGATCAGATCAAAAAACAATCAGAAGAGAATTGAAAACAAATCATATATCACCTTGCTTCTAGCAGTAAGAACTGAAGTTAGAGTTGGGGCTTTCTTTCTAGATGACCCTTCACCAGACTTTTTTTTGTTCACACCCTTGTCCTTCTTGACTTCTTCTTCAGAATCAGAAGTTATTTCAATCACATTTTCAGGTTTTGGCTTAACAGTAACTTTCTTCTGAGCTGGCTTTCGTGCTGCTGCTCCTTTAGCCCTTTTTACTCCATCAACTACAACAGCTCCATCCAAGTTTACGGCCACTGACTTCTGCAAATTAGAAGAGACCCAAAATACTCTCAGTTACAGGAAATTTCTACCAATTAACACAAGCATGAATAACGATTTCAATAGGAAAATTTCATGAAGATAAATAGACCTTGTTGTTTTCTGCTGCTGCAGCTTGTGCACAGAAACTTCTGAAAGTCAGAAAAAGATAATCAATATAGCACAAAAAATTCAAAGAAAAAACTCTTTAAATAGATGGGTGTGCATATATATATATGTGTGTGTGTGTGTGTATGTAGAGAGAGAGAGAGAGAGAGAGAGAGAGACCTTGTAACGGGGCGAGAGACTTGGGGCAGTGGCTTGCAATCTATTCCATCAACAGTAACCAGATTCCCAATGTCACTTAGAGCACGGCGGTTTCTCCCTTCGGCCGCCATGTTTTTCTGCTTTACTCCACCTTGACCTGCTTCATCTAGAAGTAATATATTTGGAATAGTAATCAAATTCATGAGAAAAGCTAAACCGTGATAAGCCTCGAATCAGAAACCAACAGAACCGGAGAAGCAATAACCCAGAAAAGAAAATAGAAATAAAAGCATTAGAGTCACCAATAACAACAAAGCATACCAATACAAAACAGAAACGGAATAATTTTTTTCTAAATATTACCCAGGTGAGGCAGAAAGAGAAATCATACACTTTCAACCAAAAAAAATTACCCAGAAACAATACAATTGTGTTGGGTGTAAATCACAGACCCAGAAGCACTCAGAACAGAAGCTTGAAGAGCAAAAAAGGAAGACGACTCAGATCCAAATATTCAAAATGATAACCTCTAAAAAAATTAAGATTGCCCAAAATCCAAAATGGCAAGAACCTTGATATCTGAAAACTCAGAGACCTTGAAATGATATGAAAGACCAAATCAAGCAGCACAAACATGCAACCCACTAAAACACACACATATACACAAAGATTGAACAAGGAATTCAATGACCCACTACCAGATCAAGAACAGCGAACACATCAAAAACAAGAGAGAGAGAGAGATCTTGCAATACCTCTGTTTTGCTGTTGAACAACGGGTCTGGAAGCCATCTCAAAACCTTGAATCTTCCGAAGGACTCCTCCAAATCTCGGAGACAGAGACGCACCACAAACTCTTCCCTCTCCTGGTCTGTGATGGCTACGCTCTCTCTCTCTCTCTCTCTCTCTCTCTCTCTCCCCTGTCTCTCTCAATGAATTCTTTCTGAGAAATAAAGAATTTTGGGGTCTGAGAAGACAAACCTCGAGAACTGGCGCTCACTCCAACGGTCTTATTTGCATGTGAAATGTTAACCGTTAGATACCTCGTTTTTCAACGGCTTTGATTTTGTTTCTAAAATCGCTACAGGGTTCATTTTTTAGCCGTTGGAACTGTTCAAGAGTTACCGTTGTTGAATAATAATAAATTAAAGTAAAAAGGTAATAATGGGGGTGCGATACTCTTACTGCAAGCTCCATGAATTTTACATGCAACTTGGGTTCTGAAAAATAAACATGAGATAAAAAGCATAAAAAATAAGGTAAAAAACATAAATGATCCCTAAACTTTGCATTCTGTTTTAAATTGATTCCTGAATTATAAATTATCTCAATTTAGTCCCAAAATTTGGTAATTTATTTTAATCGCACATGCTTCCATTTAGTCGAATTGTTAAATCAAATAGAAAAGCAATCACGTGACTTTCACTTGACCCAATTTGGGGGCAAAATAGGCAACATATGTTTAGGGAGTTTTGGGGCCTAATTTTCCCACGACTCCATCCCTTCTACAGTACATAACATACTCTTTCGCCAAGATCTCTTGGACCGATCAAAACCCAAGAAAGAGATTCGTTACATATCACATTGCTATGGTGAGTTTCATCTACCAAAATTGTTTAATTTGTTCGTAGTTATTTACACATAACCATTTAAAGCTGTAGAAGTTGGTAATTTCATGATGGAGGTTGTGGATTCTTTGCATGTTTGACCCCTCTATGTGTTCGCGCACACGCCAAATAATCCCAAGACTACTGAAAAAAGTTTCTACAGCTGAGAACCAACAAAGAAGACAAAAGAAAAGAGAAATTTTTCTATGGGGTGCATTGTTAATTTCCTGGGTGATTGTATAAGTTGTATGCATTTATAGCCATAATGAAGTCAAAACAAGTAGCACAAATTTCCAACCAGGATAGGTGTGAAGTCTGATCTGTACATTGTGTGGGTTAAAATTGAAACTGAAGTTGCACATTGTACTCTTAAACCTTGGTGTGTAATAAAATTTTGGAATTCCCAGAAGTTATTCTGTAAAAGTGTTTTGACAAGTTGTTGTTGATAGAAAAGAGAGAGAAGGAAACAAAACAGAACAAGAGAACTAAGGAAGAAGAAGATAAAAGAATTAGAATAGTTTCATTCCATTCAATATATATATATATACAGAAGTGAGGGCACAGTTGGCACAACTGATGACCCACGTGTTCTATAACCAAAATGTAAGTAATACAGTTATACAACTAATTCTGTTAGTGTTGTGTTGTTAACTAAGTTAGACTAGTTGAGATTAGTTGGGTTAATATGCCCCCTCACACAGATGGAGGGGAATTGAGCATCAGTTTGTCCTTGAGCTAGATAAAGCGAGCAGTGGTTAGTCCCTTAGTAAAAGCATCTGCAATTGGTCTTCGGAAGAGATGTAGTGGACATCAATATCTTTGCGTATAACCCGTTCTCTGATGAAGTGATAATCAATCTCCACATATTTAGTGTGAGCATGAAACAGAGGGTTGGATGCAAGAGCCAAAGCAGAGACGTTGTCACACCAAATAAGTGGTGGCTGAGAAATAAAGATATGCAAGTCACAAAGAAGCATGCGTAACCATGCCAGTTCAGCAGCGGTGTTTGCCAAAGCCCTGTACTCAGCTTCAATTGAGGATCCAGCAACAGTGGGCTATTTCTTGGCATTCCACAAAATGAGATTAGAACCCAAAAAAATGATAAGACCAGTAATGGAACGTCGATCTATAGGGTTACCAGCCCAATCCGCATCTGCATAATCTGTGAGATTGAGAGACCCACGATGGTAATGAAAACCAAAGGAAGTGGTGCCTTTAATATACCGAAGTATACGTTTAATAGCAGACATATGAATATCAGTTGGATGATGGAGAAATTGACAAACATGGTTCACAGCAAATGCCAAGTCTGATCTAGTGAAAGTGAGGTATTGAAGACCTCCAACAATACTCCGATAATTTGTGGGATCAAAGAGAGGGGAACCATCAACCTTATTTAGTCTAGAAGAACCACATGGTGATTTACAAGGTTTACAGCCTTGCATTTGAGCTCGAATCAACAAATTAGAAGCATATTTCTCGTGAGAGAGAAAAAGACCCTTCGAGGTATACTTGATCTCAATTCCCAGAAAAAAAAATGTAAAGGACTTAAGTCCTTCATATCAAAGTCTTGCCCCAAGGTAGTGATGAGGGTGGTGATATAAAGAAGAGCCATTTCCTGTTATTATTGTATCATCAACATACAACAAGAGCACAGTAATGGATGAAGTTGTATTTTTAATGAACATAGAGGTATCAGCTACAGAGGCAATAAAACCATAGGTGGAAAGTTGGGTGGTAAATCTTTCGAACCAGGCTCGGGGAGCTTGTTTAAGTCCACAGAGAGCCTTGTGAAGATGACAGACAGTCGTTGGGTTTGATGGATCAACAAAACCTTGAGGTTGCATTATATAAACCTCTTCTTTTAAGTAGCCATGTAAGAATGCATTTTTGACATCTAATTATTGTAATGGCCAGTCAAAATGAGCTGCAAGTGAGAGAACCACCCTGACAGTAGCATGTTTAACAACTGGACTAAAAGTGTCCTCATAATCAATACCTGCCTCTTGATGAAAACCTTTCGCCACAAGTCGAGCTTTGTGTTGAGAAATATTATCGTCAGGATTATACTTGAGTTTATAAACCCATTTACATCCTATTATATTTTTGTTTGCAGGAGGAGAGACAAGACTCCAAGTGCCTTGTTTTTGTAGAGCTGAGAATTCATCAGCCATAACAGTGCGCCATTCAGGAACTTTAGAGGTTGCAGAATATGATGAAGGATCCAATGGAGAGACAAAAGCTAGATAGGCTTTCTTTTTAAAGATACCAAATTTTGATCTAGTTTGCATGTGATATTGATTGGAATCTATAAGAGATCGAGAAGGAATAGTAGGAGTAGAAGATGGGTCCTGATGAGAAGCTTCATTAAATGAACATGGAGCATCAAAAGAATGATTTGTATTAGAGGAAGATGTATTATCAGAAGGAATTGCACTAGCAGAAGGAACAATAATAGAAAAGGTATTATTGGGACAGGGTCTAGCTGAAGTAGAAGGAGCAGAAGAGGAGTTAAGAACTGGACAAGAAGATGAAGAAATAGACAGAGAAGGAAATAGATGTGTGATTGAAAAAGGGGCTGGCCAAGAATAGAAGGCAAAGAAGAAGAATCAGTAGGAGAAGAATTGGAGATAGGATTTGACTTGGATAAATAAGGGAAAAAAATTTCATCACAAATAACGTGTCTGGTAACATAGAGACGATTATCGGAGGGATTATAACAGATGAAACCTTTATAATTCAGTGTGTAGCCTAGAAAAATACACTGTGAAGTTTTAGGTTGTAACTTGTGTTTGATTATAAGGCCTGAGAAGAGGATAAAACATGCACACCCAAAAACTTTAAGAAAATGATTATCTGGGATGGAACCAAAAAGACGTTGATAAGGAGATTGATGAGAAGTCACTAAGCTAGGCATTCAGTTGATTAAAAAAATTGCATCTGAGAAAGCATTAAACCAAAACTTAAGAGGAAGGGATGCCTTGGACATTAGAGTCATAGCAGTTTTAACTAAGTGTCTATGTTTTCTCTCGGCCACTCCATTATGATGTGGAGTGTGAGGACACGATTTTTGATGTTGTATTTCATGAGCAGATAGGAAATTCTGTAGTGTAGAAGCAGTATACTCACCCCCTCCATCAAATTTGAGCATCTTGAGGGGCTGAGATAATAGATTTTCAACATAAGGTTTGAATTTTGAGAAAACAGAGGAAACCTTAGAATTGTGTGTGAGTGGGAAGATCCATGTGTATTTGCTACAATCATCAATGAAAGATACATAGTATCGATAGTCATTTAAAGAAATTTCTGGAGGAGGACCCTAAACATCGTTGGGTATTAGTTCTAAGGGCAACAAAGAAATAGAATGAGATAGAGGAAAAGATAACTTGTGCATTTGTGAAAAAATAATGCGTCTTCTCTCCAAAGCAAGCCACACTTCACAAGAAGTAGAGTAGCCAATTATGTGAGATAAAGCTGTTGGAGACAAAGTTGCATTTATTAACGTCATCATCGCTTAATCTTGTGTGATCCACAATTGATATTGTGGATTTATTTTAGATGTAAATCCTCCAGATTCATCAGCAAGAAACTTTTCCGAACAAGTGAATGTTCCATCTACGTAACCGAGAAGAGAATGTGCTTTCAAAATCGCTGCGATCTAAAATCTCCATGGAACATAATTTATTGAATCTAATTTGAGAGGGATTAGATTACAGATATTTGATAAAAGGTAAATTGGAGATTGCATATGAGGAAATAGAGAATTTGTTGAAGAAAGGGACGATGTCGACAAAGAAGATGATGAAGCTGAGGAAGCCATTAACAAGACATTTGTCTTTTTCAAAGCTCTGATACCATGATAGAAAAGAGAGAGAAGGAAACAAAACGAGAACTAAGGAAGAAAAAGATAAAAGAATCAGAATAGTTTCATTCCATTCAATAGATGTTTTACAGTATATATATATACACACACACACACACACATACAGAAGTGAGGGCACAACTGACACAACTGATGACCCACGTGTTCTATAACCAAAATGTAAGTAATACAGCTGTACAACTAATTCTGTTAGTGTTGTTAACTAAGCTAGACTAGTTGAGATCAATGGCGTTAATAGTTGTAACATGCCAACCTCCATCCAACTAAGTCAAAAAATAAAATTTAAACAATCCAATCACAAGTAATGGATTCCATCCATAAAAAACATTGGATTTATAACATCAAAAACAATGGATTCCTTTTACAGTTTCATCCCTGGTTCAAAAACAACAATTTCTACCACAAAAAAATCATAAA